AAGATTTCCACAAGACGTTCAGTAATCATACTCACAGGGCTAACTGGTTTGATGCTGATTTTGAATTCTTCTCACAGAAAACATTGAGAAAAGAAAGATAAATGTGTATGTTACTGACCACACACCTCACTACTGCCAAGTAATCTGCCAACTGGAGTTTTGATTAAACTGTTAGTTAAATGATTTTGTCAACATTTACTCACTCTCGCATTTTTCCAAGTCCAACTACTATTTTATTTCTTCCAGAAAACATTAAAGAGATCGAATGCACAATATCTGAGCTTCTGTTTTCCATGCAATCACAGTGGATGGTGATTTATACTGCTAAGCTGCAACAAACAAAATAAACATAAAAGTCCATGTGACTTAAAGGGGTAATTTGCCATTGGCAAAAAAATTAGGTTTTAATAAAAGCTAGCTGTCAATGCAGTAAATAGTATTTTTTTCTTCTTTTAAATCAGTTCTACATGACGAGTAAACAGAGAAAAGAGGCTGTGGAGAAAAAAAAAAGACTCGGTGCAGTTAACAGAGAAAAAGTACACATTGTTCATTCACATTATACTACCAACAATGTAACAATGCGAAGTTGGTTGAAAATCGGCAAACTTACCCTTTATCTGCCATATTCAATGTCTTTGAGAGCCATGCAATTGTTTTGTGTGACAAACAGATAATAAAACATTAATATTCACTGAAAAATCTCCACTAAAATCATTTGCAGTCGTGTCTGTATACAATGCAGAAGCTTTGACATTAAGCCTAAAAAATGTTATTTTTCACAGAACAAATAAAATAACATGAGGGTGAGTAACGGTGAACTTTAACTATCTTTAGAGCTGGCAGTATTTTCTCTTTATTAGAAACCTGCATTGGAAAGGCTTGGAAATGAGCAGATTAACTGCTGGTGCTGGGCAACCCTGTTGCTTATTGTTTACTGGTGTCCCAAAATACAGCATTCAAACGCTGCTCAGCTAGCGTAGCGGGGCAGATTCACAAGGGTGCCTGGACGGGCCTCAAAGTTCAGTGTGCAAAAGTCCAATTTGTGCTAGGCGACATTAGCCTTTCACCCTTGATTTCTTGGAAAATTCAACAGCACAACAGGATAACGGCTGCCAATTTGTTTCAAAGCAGAGGCATTTGGCACCATTTAGTCATCAGTAATTTGAAAATTCTTTATTTTATTAGAAATCTAGGTCACATATTTCAGTTGCATGGCAAAAGGTTGGCAAAAACTGCTCATCATGGCCTTTAGAGCAAAAGAGACGGCCTCTGATAACACCAACATGGGATTATACAAACGATATTATCAAGGCAACAGGCAGCATTGTGCATGATACACTTTTTTCCCAATTCAGAAAGAACTAACCCCTGAGAAAGTTTCAAAGACGTATACATATATTATTCAGGGACCACCAAGACAAATGAAAGAATGGCAAACGTTACCGTGTCAATAGTTCAACAGGTGATAAGCTTATTTGCTTTACTGAGGGGATCAATGGTCCCATGGTCAACTAAATTTCAACACTGACCATCCCACTGCACCCAAAAGCATTGGTTTCATTGCCACATTATGTTATAGACTGCCACAATGTTATAGATCTCCAATTGCTTCTAATGGAGGCACAAAAGAAGTTGACCTCAAATGTCTAATGCTGCAGCTTACTGATCTAATCTGCCTGTATCAACACCCAAGGACTGTAATAATAAAAACATGGTTTATATGGTGCTTTATCCATCTAATTTAAGTAAATAACAGGATTTACACAGAATTTGACAATGAGTTTTTCCAGTGTTTTTGAGTGTTTGTGACTAGACCAGATAAGCTTAACATAACCTGATAAATCTGGACCAGCAGTGACTATAGAAATTTCCATGACTTTTCCAGTCATTTATTACTGGATAAAGCCCCGTTCCCATCGGCAGCCACCTGCATTGATGAAACAATCTGAACTCAGTGACCGCTGAGGACAGGATGTGGGTGTATCCAGCTACTCAAAGATGAGAAAAGTTTAACTTTTGCTAAAGTGGAGCACCTTGTTATGTAGATATTTTTGTTTTCCATGAACTAGATATTGCTCTATAAAAATTATAATTTCTAGATAATAAAATAAATAGTAAATTATTATTTTAAAATCTGTTATATGTGTTGTGTGAGTATAATATAGGGCTATGTTGACTTCAATTTTATTTTTTATTGTCTTTTCATGTAGTTTATGGATAAGAATAATTAAATATGACTGTAAGTTTATATATATATATATATTCGGGATGGGAAGATTCCCCGATTCGCTCGGTGCATCGGCATAAAAAAAAGTTAATGATGCGATGCATCGGTTTAAAGGGGTCATATTATGCTCTTTTACAAAGTCTTGATTTTGTTTTGGGGGTGTACTAGAACATGCTCTCATGCTTGGTGGTTCGAAAAACGCATTATTTTTCACATAATTTACATTATTAAAATACCTTTCTCCAACCCCCAACCCCCAACCATTCGAATTCCTGTAGGCGGGAATTCTTTGTAATGATATTCCAATGAGCCGCTTTGTGATATCACAAAG